GCAAGTACTTACTATTGCAATTGTATCACTAGTTATGATGGTACTCAATATTACGTTCGCTTCTGTATTTGTTCTAGTGAAAAAGCAAAAGAAATATTAAATATCGATGAATTATATACGAACAAAACATACGCTATTGTTGCTTCGAATGTTTCAGTGTCGATAATCGAATGGCTAATTTAAAAGTTTGAAATTATAATTTTTATACAATTAACTAATGCAGTTTTTACCTGGCTGATGCCATCATAGTTACATTTAAAAATAATGTGGAAATTATTGAGTTTGCCGTAATTGCACTATTGGTGTATGTATTACTAAAATCTATTATAGAGCCAATAGTCGTATAAGGAAATCGTGCAGTATAGTCTAAATTTTTTATTCATTACTATTAAAGTCAAAATGCATCGATGTACTTGACTCAGTTTCTGCAATGCTCATTGATTCACTGGAAGTAGGCTATAAAATAACATACGAAATTATATACTTGGAATAAAATTAATTCATACTGTTGTTGGAATATTTGTTGTAAGAGGTTCTAAACAAAATTATAAAGTTCCATAATAAAAAATAAAACATTAAATATTAAATACCACATGGTCCATCAAATACTTTGATTTCATCTAAAGCATAAGAAAAATCCGTGGATCCACCGTCTCGAAGCATTTGGAACCATATCTAACATTCATATCAATAATCATTATATTCTTTAATAACAATAAGTTTAGTACATTATATTCTTACAAAATAATTCTTTGGTGCTGGACTGGGATATGTAAAATTATGACTTTGCCATCTATTTTCAGGGCCAGCTTTAACTTCAGTTAAAGGAAAAGGTGCTGCGCCTGCTGACCATCCAATGTCAATTTTGGCACCAAGTGCTGCATCGGTTACATAATAATAAAAACTTAAACATTGAAAATCCTCGGCATGAGTCTGAACATTATTCATAGTAGTATATGTTTGATCGAATGCACCAGTCCTAGATACTTTTACCAAACCATATTTTCCTATTGTAATGAATTTCCTAGATAAATATTTGAACTATAAAAATAACTAACAGTCAATTACCAATCACACAATTGCCTGTGCCAGATGGAGTAGAACATGTATAATTCGTTGCTGAGTTGCGTTGACAAAAGTACATTGGCCAGGTTGACGGTGGATTGCTATATGGCAACGAACAATAGTCACCATTAGGAGTAGTTGGTAATACTATAGATAATGTCAAGAAATGTTAAATTCAATTATTAATTGGCACATATATATATATTTATACTGACGAATAGAGTTAGCATCTGACAATGGCTGTATAGGTGCAGTAGTCGATGCAATGCCATCAATGATCTGTAAAGTTGGTGCCCCTGGCGTAGACTGAAATCCGCAAGTACTTGCTAGATCCGTATCGAAATTACAAGAATAGAGTGATGTTTGAGCAATGCATATTGCTAATATTGAGAAACCAACTGTAAATAAGTTAAATGTACAAGTAGAAAAACCTTGATGTTCTTACATACCAAAAATATTGAATTCAATTTGGTTCATTTTCATTTATTTAACGAAGGAATACTTTTGCTTTTATTTTATGTCATTTAAAAATCTAAACCATTGTAAATACAAAAAAGTAATGATGACAGTGAAAAGATAACATCAACAGTATGAAATATTCTTTGATGAGATTTTCGTTCTTCTTTTTTTTTACAACGCACGATAACACAAAGAGTCAAATAAAATCATTCAGCTTATCATGAGATGCTAGTTTGACAAACGAACTAATGCTTTCCATGTCATCGTTCGATTGATAACATAAAGCTTATTCACTTGAATGTTAATTTCTTAAGAAAAAGATTATGTATATCAGTGTAAATTTTGATTTTTCCTCCATCAATTTCAAACATTGAATATAGACTTCCTTAGTTTGTTTTAATATTTTATTTTTGTTTTATCTGATTAATATAAATACAATCTTTTTATGAGGAGAATGCGAGTTTTTATTTTAAATATTTTTCAATTATATGTAGTCTTTGAAAAATTCAAGCGTTATTTTACTTTACAGTTAAGATAATTTCAAGTACATGAAATCTCAAAAAAGGTCAGTATACGATAGACGTTGTCACAGATAAGAAACATGTGCTACTTAGTTTTAATTGGAAGTTGACAAAGAATTTACTAGAAAAACTATCGGTGAAAACAAATAGAGTCGAATTTGATAAGTAGAAGTTATATATGAGTACGATGACGCTGAGTGACATAATGACTAAGTACATCTAGTTACACTGATGTCAATAGATGTGCTTAGAGAGAGAGAGAGAGAGAGAGAGAGAGAGAGAAAACCATCATTCTCAGTAACCCAGGTGAATGAATCCGACAGTGAATCCTATCGGATTTCATGGGATCCGACAAGCCGACAAAATCGGATCAGATTCCTGGTCACGGACCTACTAATGGATTCGACGGAAAAAAGCCATTTTCTAAATTACCAACGAATAAGCATAATGGTGTCACCAGAACACATGGGCCGAATGCTTATGTTGGATTCCGTTAAATTCCGACACTGGAACCTATCGGATTCGAACACTATATGGTTCCGATTGTAGATCCCACACCCGGATACCGATTGGATTTCGTCGGTTTAATGAAATTCATACTATATCCGACGCGAACCCGATAGGATCCCACTATTGGAATCATTCTCCTGGGAACATGCCTGTGATTCGACAGTTTTTAACAATCAAAAGGAAACTCTATGGGCACTATAGCGATATCAGAAAGAAAAGTAGTCTCGATTAACTCAGATTTTCATGTTAACAATTTCACAATCAATTTTAATGATGCATGCAAGTATCGGCCGGATGATATTGGTCTCGTTCAATTTTCTGTTTTACTCTGTTAACTCACAATGTTGGGTTGACTGATAATGTTTATTTGCAACTGCAACGCAATATAAAATCACCATTGTCAAATTAATTCTCATATATTACGTAAAACTTCAAGATTTCGAGAATCTAAATCGTTTTAAAACTACAGAAAAAATGTCATCATAAAATTCAGCGAAGTAAATTAACGTAGTCTCGAACTTAATTCAGTGGTTCAAATTTATTAGGTCGAAATCGCAAGTCATGAGTTTTAAAAGCTTTTCGGATGCATCCATGTTAAATCAGTTTATAATTTCTAAACTATGAATGCTCCATCTTTACCTATATGCAATGATGCTATTATTTTGTGAGTAAACGTTTGTCTTGAAATAAACATCGCCCACTTTTACAACGTTCATTGTAAATTTTGTTATTGCGAATATGAATATCGTTAGCCATCAAATCTTATTGTTGCTATAAGCTCTACTATTAGGAAAATAAGATCAATCCAGATGTATCATTATTATATCTTTGAAAACTTCACCATATCTGTTCTTGTGTACTCAAAAAGTAAGTACACTCTAGAATCGGTTAGTGTGTTCGTCCGGCCGTTCACAATATTAGTCTTCCCAATTACATTCGATTGAGATGAAATTTTGTGCACCGAATTGTCTCATTAATATCTCGGTCGAGTTCGAAGATGAAAAGGATCCATCAAGAAATGGCTGAGTTATCGAAAAAATTGTCATTATTGACCAGACCATCCCTGAGGGGGGAACAGGGATTTTTTCAAAAAAAAATTTTTTTCTCATAATTATTCACAACATATACAAATTGACTCAGTTTTTGCAGTACACATAACAATCAGATGCAAATCCGATGTTTCCGCATTTATTTTGAAATAGTAATGATTGGGCGCTTGAAATCCCGTAATTTTCATAGTGACGTATAAATAGTAGTTTAAATATAAAAGAGAAGAAATAATGTAAATATAAAAAAGTCTGTTCGACAATTTTAGCTCTCTCGCCATCACGTTTCTCATAAGTGAATAGCAAATCATTTCATTTCGCTTGCTCTAAGATAAAAAGAACGAAATATCTAAGTAGGTCTAGTATGCTATTTAATGTCCAAATATATTTCTCTTGAATATCACAAAGCCAATAACGTTCAAGTTACTCTTATCAGAATGCACCAGCTAGCTATTTCCAGTACGGGCGAAAATCTAATCTCGAGATCTACTGAGATCTGCTTTTCCCTATTGATTTCAAGAAAATAGTTAACTTTATTTATTAAACTTAGCCAGGTTTTCGAACTTTTCATAAAGCTTTTCTTAATAAATAAATTTTAAAAAAAATCATCAGTTAAAATAACTGAAAATTTATTTTTCGATATAGTGTCTCAGCAATATACGTATGGGTTGAAATGATTTTATTTTCATTTAAAATAGTTTTAATTTAGCTTTTGAAATAATAAAAATTGTGTATATTCATCGGCTGCACTGAAAAAAGTATCTTTTATGAATTCAATATTGCACATCTGTTAGATATCATTCGCACTAAATACAATGATAGAAATTATTGAAAAATTTTGCAAAGAGTTTCGTGTGCTTAACTCCGAAAGCTTCTGAAAACATTCAATCAATCTTAATTCTGTTCTGATAATGTGTTCAAGCTTTTGTTTGCGTTAAAAGATCTATCCCAGTTACAATCATTGCATTAGCACTTTTTTTCTAAATTTTTTATGCAAATTTATTCATGAAAAATATCGTAATGATACAAATAAAACGAGGAAAAAAGATTGAAATCAAATCAAATAATATCAGATGCATCAGCTGTTTTCTTTTTTGTCGTCCTTGTTTTCCTTGATTCCATAGGAATTTCGTTCGTGACATCAGCAGTTTTCTTTGTAGTTGCACCGTTTTTAGTAGTTCTAGTCTTCTTAGTAGTTCTAGTTTCACTAATTGGCTTTACTTCATTTATTTTAGCCCTGTGTACTGCGAAATAATAAACAATACCGACAGTAACGGACACAACGAATGGAATGCCGAGACCCAGCGAAAGGCCAAGAATTAAAGGTAAATTGATGTTAGCTAAAAAAAGAGAGACAAAAATACATTAGTTGTTTCTTGAAATAAGTATTCACCACTTGAGTTCTTAGATTCAGCAACAGTTGTTAATGCTGTTACTGTTACTCCTGATGTCGCATCAGGTGCTGAAGATGGCTCCGTAACTGGATTTGGGGTTGTAGAATCGATTTGAATATTCAGGACTACAAAATTTAAATAATTGATTCATGATTTTGAAGAAACATTTTCTTTATATTAGAACTTACCTGAACAATTGAAGGCATATAATTCTATGTTGTCTAATGCAAAATAAATTGTTCTATTGGTTTCAGACTCATTTCCTTGGTTTTCTTTAGTGACCAAAAAAGAAAACGCTAACTGAAAATTTAATATATTCATTTCTTAACAAAACTTTTCAATAAGAATGCTTCTTACTGTGTAATTAGAAGATACTGAGGTGAATGTCACTTCTCCATTTTGCCATTTATTTTCATTCATATCAGCCACAGTAAAGTTTTCAATTGAATATTGATTATTAATTTCATGATTGGGTCTTATCCACACTTGAATCTCTTGGCCCCAATCTTCTCCATCGTAGACAGTAAAATAATAATTAAATCGGAGACATTGCACTTCAGAAAAATCTTCTGCAATCGCATTCGAATCAGTCGAATTAATAGAATCAAAGATTGTCCTCGATGACTCAGATGAATTAAGCGAAACGAGTCCATATAAACCTATAAAACATTAAATCTATCTAACAAAACTTGTTTAACAGCAAAAACAATCTTGATATTAAAGAAGAAAATATCCTGTGAAATTCAGTTTAAATGAATAAATCTCATTGCAAAGATGAAAGCAATTTTCATTGAGCTCTCATCATGAAAAACAAGTTACCTGAAACGCATGTTCCTTGAGTTTCATTTGATGTTGGACATTCATTATTATAGCAAAACCACATGCTCCAGTTAGCGAAATCGGTACCATTTTCTAATTGAGGTCGATAGGGTAACTGACATGGCAGACTGTCATTTGTTGGATTAGCTGCAATCAACGAAAATATATTTATGAAGGTCACATTTGAGGAAAGATAAAACTTACTAATAGACGAAACATCAGAAGTCGGTGCTACTGGCGGTAGTGAGGTATCGGAAATCGGACCAAGATTGAATTGACTGCCATCAGTTCGATCGAGTTGATTTTCTGCAAAACATGGAGTAGTAAAATCACATTCAAACATTGGAGGAAAAGGACGGCGCGTTGTGTCGACTTTAGCGGTTGTCGGTTCCAGTCTTGGTACAGTTGTGTCACCTGCTGTAGATACCACCGACTAGAAGTACAATACACCATTTTTACGTGTGAATGTTTTAGAATCTTTCGTAGGAATGTGTTTTGGTTATTTTAATAGTGAAGCGTCTTTCATGAATGAAAAAAGCAAGACTAATGCATAATTCTGTTCTTCATATACTCATGAAGTGACTATATTGAAAATGCCAACTAGTTATTGATAAAATTTTATTAACTACCTCTTCAGTTGATTGTTCGGTGAGCAATGATGTTCTAAGAATTTGGTCTGTAGTCGTACTAAAAAAAGATATATTTTGTATATAAGAAAAGAAATTATTAATGAATAATCATCGAAGAGTTACATGAGTTTTTCGAGAAAAAAGTAATGCATTCCTCAATTTTTTAATAACTCTAAAAGCGACAGATTTTGGATTATAAAATAGTTTTGTTAGCTATCCTAGAATTATCCGTTGCATCTTATTTCGGATTATGCGTACAAATGAACGTATTCATAATGAAATATTGATAAGAGACTCAGTTTGTTAATGTGATCAATAAATTATATAGTATTTTTCCATTAGCGAAACTAAACGAACTTTATTCTTTACAAATTGTTGGATATTTATGAAATTTCGTTATTTGTTTCACTCGAACTATCTAATGGCAAAATGTCTAATTAGTTGGCACAAACCTATCTATGATTGCGGTTGAATCGGTGGTATCTTGACTGTGAATATGAGGAACTATCAATAGTCCAATAACAAAAATAACCGCTAAAATAATATTAAGAAATAAAATAGCACATAATGTTATGAAAAAAATGAGTCCGTACCGAATTTCAACATTGTCTATTCTGATGAGGTAAATAGAATTGCGAAGACTTTTAAATAGAGATGGTCTATTCGTTGAAAAATAACTAAATACATGTTGCTAAGACAATAATCTTTAGAAATATAGACATTATGTATGACGCTTTGATGAAAAAGATTTCATAAACAGAAAGAATAAAATAGAAAAAAGCCAATCTACAACAAAAAACTAAAAGTCTGTTTCATGATATTACGTCATATAGAAACAAAACAAAAATCTCCTTGTAGCCAGGGTAATAATCAGTAAATAATAATAGTAAACCCCACGAATCATATTGTAAACGGGGATACTACGTAGGACACAAGTGAAGTCGATATCATTGCGTAGGAAGAAGATACCAACTGTGCTCTGTGTTTGCTTTATATCGACGACCAGTGAGTGTCTTATCTTTGTTTTACGATTTTATTTGCTATCAAATTAGTCAGATGTGAGCAAGTGAAGACTAATCGATCTAACGAAACAAAAAATTGTGCTGTGGCAACTGTAATCCGAGCAGTCCTTTTTTTCTTTCAAGTTTCTATGTCAACCCTCGTCACCATTGAGAGTAGATATCTTTTAGTACAACTCTCTTCAAGATAAAAACCAATTTGTAAATTAAGTACTAATTCAAAGTATATTCAAAGATAAATATAAACTGTTTCAAACTTAAATTTACTAATTGATGAAATAAACTGGTTTTCTTTCCATTTTAGAATAATTGGTCACTATTGTTGCTTATAAATTATTTGCCGGTATGATTTGCAGAAGCGAAGAATTTTTCAGTCTTCGACCTTCACGCTAAAACATATCGCGAGACAGCTTTATCTTTTAAGATATGAAATTTAAAACTTCCAAGATTTCAGTATGCAACATTATTTTATCTGGGAAAAGCCGTTATATGGCAATTTCCTTTGAAATGCATAGCACCTTATCGATTAACACAATCCTTTCGCATTCTACACAGATGTTCAGAGATTTTTCGTAACGAATCGTTTTTGAATGAAAACGAAATTAGGAAAAGACTATGAAATGACATAACATTGTTCTTTATATTTATAATCACCCTACTGGTGAGGGACTAGTGATTTCAGTTTAAAACACCTAGAACTCAACCAATAGAGCGATTCTGATTTTAATCAGTATTATTTCAATAAAGATGAACTAAATTTTGTCTTTCTGAGAAAAAAAAGCAACTTTTAGTTTAGCATAATCTACGGATACAATTGAATTTATCATAGAAAATACTTCGATGTTGTGACATAATAATCTTTGTTAATCAATTAGATTGAATCTTTAAACATTACACAACAATATATCGGTATAGTTTTGTTGGTTCGATCACCATATTCATTTTTACTATCGGTGTTGTGCCAAGTTTAATTATATTTACACAAAAAAATCTTATTTGATGAATTAGATTCTTCATTATTCGCTGCTGTAGCACATGAAACTCAGTACAAATTTCAGTGATTTCAATAAATTGTTGGTTCTATTGGTATCGCATAGATGCTGTAGAAGTTTGAGATCACTTCTGATAACTATGACAATAATAGTTCAAACAATTGTTAAGGACAACAAAACGGAGAACCTATGAAGAAAGTTGCCTGCCCCGTATGGAATAACAAAAGAACAGATATTATTACAGTAGTGTAATCATCTAGAAATTTCAGAAATTTTTCTTGAAGAATAGATTGTATCCTACATATAAGCAAAACTACATTATTCACGTATATTGTTTTAATAAAAAATCTCCATGGAAAATGAATCAGCATTGCGTATTAAGTCAACTCATATAGCTTTCTATTAATTCATATCACGATTCTGTCATTCTCAGGCTACAAATCTCGATGAATACTACAAGTAATAACATATTTAGCTGAATATATACAATAAAACTCATCGATTAATGTTTGCAACTGATACTTAGTTATCTTCAATTAAATGACTATTCCATAGATGTAAGATATGACTCATTGTATGACTATTATTATAATTTCTACCGTATTAAAACATAAAAAAATCAAAGCATTGACTTATCATTACTTCAGTTCAATTCTTGTATCACATTAGTGTAAAAACGTTCGTGCTAGTTTGCTCGATTGAAAAACTTTTCGAAGAATAGTAAAATATTCACTTTTAAAAAAATAAGCTCTTCGCACATTCCAGTAATCTCTCTCTCTCTCTCTCTCTTGAAATATACATATTGTACCTAAAATTCAGTATTCAACAAGTCACATTGAAATCTCCTTATATGAAGATCCATCTTTCTCTTCAGTACTTTCTTACTGAAATCAGCTAGAGTTTATACACATACTAGTTGCCCAACTATACATGAACGATAGATGTCAGAAGTCTACTTTAGTCTTTCTTATATATAGATTACATGAACAAAGATGGATGTTTATGAATATCGTAGTATTGTTTACCTTAAGATCACGAGTGCGGTGACGTTTGTATTCAGAACAAACGTATCAATAGTTCAAATCGTCTTTCTCATAAACATAATACTGCATAAATAGTCTGGAATTTTTTCATTTGTGACGTTTTCAAGATAAGTTCAATACCATTTTCGTACGTTTGAGAGCTCTTATAGATATTCTGATAATATTACGTATTATTTTATGAAAAAATGACGTTGTTCTGTTTTATTTAAGAACACTTTTGACATTTGAAATAAAACAAGTAAAAAAATAGATTATTTGGGTTCAAAACTTTGAATTTGTTTTAGTAGGAACAAATAAGAAGAAAAAAACGTCCTTGAACATACACAGGGAGCCAGTTAAAATCAAATTTATTGTTTTATTTTCATTTATAGAGTGATAGGCGCATTATCTTCAATGGTTCTTGTCAAAATTAACTAATTCCTAGAAAATATGTGCACATATGAAAGAATGTTACTTGATATACAATGAGCTAGAAACATATGTGAATAACAAAAGCGTAAATTAATTCAGTAGGCAAGTTTGTATTTATTACATAGTATGTTTTTGATATTCTTGATTTTTAAATAGATACAACAAAAAACAGTGATATTTACAGTTCGTTTTCAACAATACTGATGAATCTATTTAAAAAGGTAACTATTTTATTTTTCTATATCAATAAGCTTTGTAAAGTATTTCATGATAGATTAAATTTGCCTAGCATATAAATTTTGCATTGTTAGAATTATTGAATAATTTAAAAAGAAAGAATCAATTCATATATTTTAGTGTAGATTTAATAATCATTCCATGACCTCAACTCGTTCATCTATTGAGGAACAACAAGTTCCTAATACATCTCCATCAATTGAATTTTCAATCTGGAATACATTTAAACATCATATTCCACGTTTTCTCATTACAATTCTCGTTGATCTGATACTTCCACTTGTTATTTATTTTTCTCTTCAAAAACGTATCAAAGCAATATATGCTCTTTTAATTGCTGGTGTTGCACCCCTTATCATGGTTATTATTAAAGCTATTTTATCTCGAACATTCGATGCACTTGGCTTTCTTGTTTTTATTGCTTTTCTTATTTCAGCTATTGCTGCTGTTGTAACACATAATCCAATTATAATTCTATTGGAAAAATCAGTAATAACTGGAATCTTATCGATTATTTTCGGTTTAACATTAATGCCACGACGATGTTGTCAATATTGTTTTCATATACGGCCACTTGCCTATTATTTTTATCAAGATTTAGTACCAATAAAACGAAATGAAGCAGGCTTACCCGATAGTATATTTCAAGAGGATCCAGAATCATTTCATGAACAATATGATGATGAAATTTCAGTAATAAAATTGTCTGATAAAAAAGAAATTGCTCAAGTCTATGAATGGTTTTATACGCATTGTTCATCATTTCGTTCTACGTGTTATGTAATAACAAGTATATGGTCAGTAGGATTCCTATTCGAATTTCTTGGTAGACTTACTTTAATTCTCGCTAATTTATCAATCAATAATATTGTTATTTATGGGCAAGCAATATTGACTTTAGTAACAATTGTTATGATTCTACTAACAATTATGTGTATAGTCAAAGACAGGAAACAATCATTAAAATTTATTGAAATATGGAAAAAAGATCATTTGAATAATGAACAACAATAATAATTCATCTATTTACATATTATTGTAGATAAAATGTATAATAAACCATTCGTTTTGTTGTTGTTGTTGTTGTTTGTGTTAGTATTTAAAAATAAAAGAAAAAATCCGAGCAAATTTTTAATATTTACAGTTACTTACAATATTTATTTGCAATGAATTTTAGAAATGAAAATAAGGTACATTGAAAAGTTATTAACTAATATCTATAATATATTTGAAAATATGCATAGAAATTCACATGAATGAATGAAGAATAAAATGCTCTTGCAATTTATTCTTGCTCTTGATTTTTCAACTTATTATTCGTTACACAAGCTTAGTAAGAATGAAAATGAGTAAATGAATACAAAATAAAAATATCAATTCCTCGATACATGACTAACTTCGTTCTGAGAGCCAGCCGTAAATGAAATATCATACTTTCCAGAACGATCTTGACTCTTGCGTTTCCAATAAACGACGCCACCGATAAGTGCTATGGTTGGCAACCCTAAACCAAATATCAGGCCAAGAATTAAACCTACCCTAGACTTGTCTAAATGCAAATGATTACACTAGAAAATACTATGAATTAGTTATTTATTTACTCGGCGAGGGCGCCTCAGTTGCAGCAGCCGTTGGTTGTATTGTAGAAGTAGTGCCTTGATTATTCGGATCTGAAAAATTTCAATAATTGGTTCATGATTTTGAAGAAACATTTTCTTTATATTAGAACTTACCTGAACAATTGAAGGCATATAATTCTATGTTGTCTAATGCAAAATAAATTGTTCTATTGGTTTCAGACTCATTTCCTTGGTTTTCTTTAGTGACCAAAAAAGAAAACGCTAACTGAAAATTTAATATATTCATTTCTTAACAAAACTTTTCAATAAGAATGCTTCTTACTGTGTAATTAGAAGATACTGAGGTGAATGTCACTTCTCCATTTTGCCATTTATTTTCATTCATATCAGCCACAGTAAAGTTTTCAATTGAATATTGATTATTAATTTCATGATTGGGTCTTATCCACACTTGAATCTCTTGGCCCCAATCTTCTCCATCGTAGACAGTAAAATAATAATTAAATCGGAGGCATTGCACTTCAGAAAAATCTTCTGCAATCGCATTCGAATCAGTCGAATTAATAGAATCAAAGATTGTCCTCGATGACTCAGATGAATTAAGCGAAACGAGTCCATATAAACCTATAAAACATTAAATCTATCTAACAAAACTTGTTTAACAGCAAAAACAATCTTGATATTAAAGAAGAAAATATCCTGTGAAATTCAGTTTAAATGAATAAATCTCATTGCAAAGATGAAAGCAATTTTCATTGAGCTCTCATCATGAAAAACAAGTTACCTGAAACGCATGTTCCTTGAGTTTCATTTGATGTTGGACATTCATTATTATAGCAAAACCACATGCTCCAGTTAGCGAAATCGGTACCATTTTCTAATTGAGGTCGATAGGGTAACTGACATGGCAGACTGTCATTTGTTGGATTAGCTGCAATCAACGAAAATATATTTATGAAGGTCACATTTGAGGAAAGATAAAACTTACTAATAGACGAAACATCAGAAGTCGGTGCTACTGGCGGTAGTGAGGTATCGGAAATCGGACCAAGATTGAATTGACTGCCATCAGTTCGATCGAGTTGATTTTCTGCAAAACATGGAGTAGTAAAATCACATTCAAACATCGGAGGAAAAGGACGGTCCGTTATGTCGACGTTATCGGTTGTGTCTGTTGACGTAACTGACTAGAAATACAATGCATAATTTGTAGGTCATATTAATGCTGAAGTGTTTTTGATGAATTAAAAAAAGTAAGACCAATCTAGAATTCTATTTTTTATATGCTCATGAAGAGATTATATTGAAACCGCTGAGTAGCTATTGATAAAATTTTATTAACTACCTCTTCACTTGATAGTTCGGTGAATAATACCGTTGGAGAACTTTGGGCGGTAGTCGCACTAAAATAAAAGAAGTATTTTACATAAGAGAAATTATTGATGAATAATGACCGAAAAGAGTTGTGAGGATCATAAGAGAAAAAAATTATAGATTTTCCTCAAATTTTCTAGCAACATCTACATTGATAAACTGCAGAATTCGGAATGATTTTATAAGTAATCCACAAATCAGGGATTCAATTCTTTTGAATTGGTTTTTTTATAGATAAACGTCTTCGTGATAAAATGTAAAGAAAGAGCTTATGAATAATTGAGATTTTTTTGTGCTTTAGATTTTTCAAATTGTTACCCTTATAAAAGAATTATATTGTTTTTTTCAGGTATCAAAAGTGAAATTGAAAATATCACGTTAGAATCCCAACTCATCTGAACCTTAATCAACGGAAATCCGGAAGCTTTTATGAAATATTCATATGTATTTCATTGATATTTGCTTAAATGATTTTTAAAATTGTCACTGACCTTCTATCTATGATTGCATTTGCATCGATTGCTTGTGCTCTTGAGAAAACAGTATCCTTTGTTTTAGAAAAAAAATAATATGTACTACTAATTGACTTGCGTTAAATAATACGTACATCTTTAGCTAGATGATTATGAGCATGAAAGATTCGGAAGAATCCGATAACAAGAAGAATCACTATAATAGTATAATGAAACTAATAATTATAAATGATAAAATAAACCATTTCTTACCGAATTTTAACATCATGCAGGTTGTCGAAACAAATAAATTTCTTTATTTTGCTTCAAAAAACGATGTCTCAGTTAGAAAAGGTAGCTTACAATGAGTTGCTACGACAATAATCACTCCAAATATATTCAGTGTGTATGCAGCTTCTCAAAAACGGACTCAACAAAAAGATAAGAGTGTCTTATATAGATGTAAATAGCAAAAACGTCACGCGCATCCTTTTTTATGCATCGCAAAACAAAAGCTTGGCTGTTTGCTTTGTATCTTCTATCTTTGTTCATGTTTATGAACGAAATGGACGCAATGAAAAAAGTCTTATAGGATACTTCCATTAGCAGAAGAGAGAAAAGATTCGATAGAAAGAAAGCATCTACAATCTTATTTGAGTATACATGTATTTTTTCAAATGATCTTAATTTAGATAAACATGAAAAACAAAAGCTCTAATATAAATATTAAACTATCGAATTGGCGTAAAACTACACGTGTATTTTTCATTAAACATTCTGTTTCTATCTATTCTAATTACGAAACAATCAATATATAGTTATGCACAATTATCTTAACTACTGTTTTTATGCATCGCCAGTCATTGTTAATTTACGTAAAACTTGTGAATAAGCCGAATTGAAAGAAAAGCAGATCAAACTTGCATATGAAGTATCTGATAATTTAGATTAATTTTTATTTTGTTTTTGTTTTGACAAAGAACATAGATTGTATGATAAGATGCTTTGCCTTTGTAGATATTTTTAAAAATTGTGATATGAAAAAATTCATAATGCATTAGCAACTAGAGATGAGAGGCGTCACATTATTTTGGTCTCCATTCGGGTCCTAGTAATTATAGCTTTTCGATTGTTCGTCCCTGTTTAGAGAATAGCGTTGGCGAATTTCTTCGTTTCGTATTTTTTATTTCTTTGCTGCAACTGTAATTTAGGTCCATTTCACTGCACTTAAGAATACGGAAGTCTTGCATTGTTTCTTTTGGCGAAACCGGGACTAGCTTTGCACGCCATTGATCACGAACGAAACCATTGACATTAGACGAATCCCAGCATGAACTGAACTACATGCTATACTAAAAGCAGCTTTTTGCAATGATTTCATACTGTTCTGATGGTATTAAATGAGATGTGTTACAGTCGGTAAGTTGAGTTTGGAAGAGCTTTCGTGTGCACAAATAATTTAAAGAGAAGAAACGAAAATTATTTTAAATGAAATAAGTAAAATGGTATACTAGTGATTATTCCGGCTGATTTGTACATGGTTTTGCTAAGAATCATCTTTTCTTTAATTGTACGCATTTGTTGTTTACAATAAGAAGTCACTTCACAACAATCGACGTTTACAAAGAAAACAAAAGCAATTTGGTTTTAATTTTCTTCAAGAGACTAAAAGATACACTAACATTTCAGTAGAATTCTTCTTCGAGAACTCATTGAATCATTCTAATTTTGTTGTATTCTTGAATTCTCTTCTACAAGAATTAAGTAGTCTTTGTTTTTCCAGCATCACACTGTGCTAACTCTCTTTATCCAAAACCATAAACATATCTCGAATTCTATTCTAATTGTAGAATGAATAGATCAATGATTGTAATAGGTGAACCATAATTAAATTTGTACTATCTAGACATGAGTTGTTCGGTAAAAATATGTGCTATTAACTTGTGAACATGTTTTATTTTCCAAAAAGCTCTAGTGACTCTGTATAATTTGCACACGTCGATATTAATGTTTGAAATATGCTCCAATCACATTTCGATGCATACGCATGATGATTCAGTTATTGTATCCTGTAATTACAAAAGCAAGGATTGGGCGTAGAACATAAAGCGTAGGCAAAAAGTAGTAATTTTTGAGTTCAGGTACTTTGAACTCAACGAAAAATGATTGGCGAATCAATTTTTAAAGCAACCGTAAAAGTTATTTTTCCCACAACTGTTTATGAAGTTATATCAGGGGTCGCAGCGGCCTAGTATTCAAAGTCAGGAATCAGGACAGGAAATCCAAAGAAAAAAATCAGGAGTTTTACTCATAAATCAGGAAATCAGGGTTAATAAGTATTCATCATAAATGTTGAACTTTTACGCATCGTTACGTCAAGGAAAACGTTTCTAACCAAAGACTTTTGTGTTCTGCTCTTTTGTATATCTTCGTTGTTCATTTCTCATACTCAATTATGCAGTAATGGAAGGACAAAAATGATCTCTTGTCTTTCAAGATTTCGCTCTAAGTTACGTTATCTAAAAGCTTTTTTTAATGAAAGCTGGTTTTTCTGTGTTGTCATTGTTCTCTGTTCTGTAAAACGGTTATTCACTCCTGGGATGTCAAATAATCAATGTATTTCTAGTTGTGTCATTAAGTCGCCTATTTGAAGTAAATTATACAAAACAACGATGCACTTAATCAATTACGAAAGAAAATGAGGAAATAAATTGAATTGTAAAGTTGTATATAGTAAATAAATATAATTTTTGTGAAATTCTCTTTCATTCACCAGTTGGAATAATACTCAAAATTGGTTCGAAATGAAGATAAGTGGCCTAATACGGAGTAATAAATCGCGCGTTGCTTATTTTTAGCAATTCATTACATTCATCGAATGTTAGTTTAAAAAGTCAGGGAAATCAGGACCTATCAGGATGTTCTCAAAAAAACAGGAAAAAATCAGGAAAGTAGTGCCGCTGCGACCTCTGTTATACATCGCAGCGCTTGTCAGGATTCCAGCGAAAAAATTCTTTGCAAACGACGTCCCCGTCGGGATTTATCAGGACACGGCGATGTATGAAAATAATTCAAAATAGTTCATCTGAAAAATCTACCTTGATTTACAAAACGTATAACTAGGTCATTGTCAATTTGCTTGTGTCTGCAATGGAATATTAATTGTTACCTCGTATATTTAACAATGGCAGTGACTAGTGTCTATGGTCTGTAATGGGCAAACATTGCTTGTTTCGTGTAGTCTGCAATTAGCAAAGGAAGAAATAGCAGCCTAATTAGTCAAGCTCCTAATTAACACAATTTTAAGCTGATTAATGTCTGTAATGGGGAGCCGCAAAAATCTCCCTTTTAAACTTACACTCACCATTTGCTTCGAAAATATATGTGAGTTCGACAAAAAGTTCACTCCGATCAACTAATGTAAGACACGGATGGTTAGGCACGAAATTTTCACATATTTGTTTTCAATAGACTTGAAAACATCCTCATTATAAGTCTACATTCGTCATTGATATCTTGTTCATGGAGGACCATCTTTTGTACAAAATGCAATGATTGATAAGAATTCTCAGTGTTTGCCATTGTTGCACAGCTACAATTTAGCAGTTTTTCCTAAAAGTTACAATTCGATTTTTATCTATCGCTGAAGAACAAAAAAAGTTCTGACTCAAAAACAATTTTTCTTGTGGCTACAATCAATTACTTTTTATTCGCTGAAAAATTAGGAAATTTCATGCTATAGGTGATTGAATATATAGATATGTTGTTTACTAAAAATAATAGTAAAACATCAATTTTTGCTTTCTTCGTTTCATTAGAAGTTGTTTATGCATGCTTAATTAATTAATAAAAGACATAATTTATTACTGAGAAAACCTTTAATAAAAATTCAATCAATCAAAAACATAAGTAGTTGCTATTATCTTGGCAACAACGCAACATATTTTACATTATCAACTCAAAAAAAAAACATCATATTTATAGTTTTGGTTAAAAGTCAACTTCTATTGGCGATAATAAAAAAAAAGAAATAACGTGTCAATGTTTTTTCTGTCGTTATTGCCAAACAAAAAAAAGTATATCATACCGACAGCGATTATAGGCGCAGAAAAAAACGTGCTTCAGATCTTTAGTTGATTATGTAAAGTAGATATTAATGATTAGTGTGCGTCTGCACATGCAAAGGCGCAACAGGAAAGCAAAGCGTTCGTGAAAAAAAGCAAGGTTTAACATGAATATATGCATCAGTGACTTTCTCGACGGGCTGAAACGACGTGAGGACGGCGGAGAAAAAAAAAGAAAAAAGCTGACTATAGTTTCAGACCAAAAATAATATTTAAACAATTACTTGTATAGTAAGTAGATTTTATCAAAAATTTGTTGTTAATAGCTTAATAATATATATATATGTATACGATTTAGATTTAATTCGCTTTTACAGAAGAAAATTTTTTAGGCTGAATCATAGCCGAACTGTTTCAACGATAGGCATAAATGTCATTTATATTTATGAAACAAAATGACATTCAAAACGTCTTTGTCGCCGTACCAATGAGAAACGAGTATTTTAGCGTTTCTTTGCCGTTTATATTCAAAGGAACAAGTTGAAAGTTACCCCATTTTATGCACGTATTCGTTCATATCAACATCGATATATATTATCTCAATAATGCGACACCAGAGCATATTTTTGTTTTTAGAAGAATACAATGTTAGGACGGTCATAAAAGAAAGCATATAAATATGAAATAATAAATTTCAACATTTTATCAGATAAACAAATTTCTTTGAGCGGATAAAAGAATTTAACTATATTCCATTGATTATCCTACAAGTAATACTCTAACATAGGTTCTAGTCATGTCTGTCTACTTAATCATTGTGTGAACTGTAGTATTCATTGAGAATGATTCAAACGCTTGTTGAGTTTAAAAATAGAATGTTTTTTCTAGTACTAAAATTTTCTTTTAATTCGAACTTTATTATCGATTCTGTTGTTATCAAAGAGTCAGTTTATACGTTTAGTCTTTTTTTCTTTTCAAGTTCTCAACATCTATTTAATGGCTTTTGATTCTGATGCCGATTGTCCACCGCTTCTTCTCGAAGATGAAGACAGAGACGATGAAGCTATCTCCATAGAAAATCCTAGATTTTCAATTTGGAATACATTTAAACATCACATTCCACGTCTAGTTATTACTGTTCTTGTCGATCTTATATGTCCTCTTGTTCTCTATCTCATTTTGCAAAAACGAATCAAACCCGTTTATGCCCTAGCAGCAGCTGGTATTCCACCATTTATTATGGTAATAATTAAAGGAATCGTATCTCGAACATTTGACGCCTTAGGCTTTTTGGTGTTTTTTTGTTTCGTCGCATCAGCTATTGCCGCTGTAATAACCAGTAGCCCTGTTATTCTATTATTAGAAAAATCTCTTGTTACTGGCGTTGTGTCTATTATATTTGGTATAACATTGATACCGTTTCGTTGTTGTTCTCATCGGTGTCGAATGCGACCACTCGCTTATTATTTTTATCAAGATTTAGTGCCAACGAAACGAAAAGATATTGGATTACCTGATAGTATATTTGAAGATGAACAACAACAATTACCTGATAATCAATTTTCTGAGATGCAAGAAGAAAATTTATTATCATTACCAGTATTAAGTCATAAACAAGAAGTTGCTCAAGTATACGAATGGATCTATCGACATTGTTCGTCATTTCGTCTTTCATGCTATTTAATAACAAGTATTTGGTCGATTGGTCTTCTATTAGAATTTCTTGCACGATTATTTCTTATTTTAATTCGTTTATCAATTGAAAAAATATTCATTTATGGACATATTATATTGAGTGCAATGACAACTCTATTAATTATATTAACTATACTTTGTATAACACGAGAAAGAAAACAAACATTAAAATCAATTGAAACATGGAAAAAAGAGTATTTCAGTACTCAACAGTCATCATTTGTCAACGATTCAAGCATAAATATTGTTACATAGAGTTATGCTATCATTTTTAACAGAATATCGATGTTTTTCAAATATTTGAATGCGAGCACATTGCAATATAATTTATTCTCTTCTTTTTCTGTTTTCAAATTCATGTTAAGTAACTGCCAAAATAATGTACTATAGAAATAAATGAATTCATGTATATAAACTCTATTTGCTTCATATTGAATCATAGTGAAAGATAAAAATGACGAGTTCATAAAATTGAAGAATATAAAAAAAATCCTCGGTTGATTTCTGTCAATAAAGAAAAGAAAAGAAAGAAAGACGAAGAGAACTGCAGAGTAAACTACAAATAGCAGTTGAATGGAAAGGATATGTGTATGTGTGTTTTAAAAAGAAAATTTCAGCCGACCAAGCAAAAATGTTTCTTTTTCTATTCCATATTACAAAGAAATCTGTTGACGTTATGCACTGTCGTTAGGAACACGTGCAGTATTTACATTAACATGCAACTATAAACCTCATACATTGATTTGTTCGATACGACGCAAGTTGACATTATTAACAGAACTGTAACCTGCATCACAAATTGATTTTGAGTCGGCATAATCAATACGACTATTCAACCGTAAAATATTCAGAAAAAAAAATTATTCTATAACATTACTGATCCTGTTACACAACTGCGTAAGTGTATATCTTAAAATTAGTTGCTAAGCAGGATATTATTATTGTTGGTTTCTTAAAAAAAAAATTTTTATGGAATAATCAAAAATAGAATTTCATCCAAGTAATTTTTGATTAAAACGTAAGTAAAAGCTTGTTTGCGCAGCCCCTTTGGGACTAAAATGTGGAACTCACATATATTCCTGTGGCTTACTAAAATAACCATACATCGCAGCGCTTGTCAGGATTCCAGCGAAAAAATTCTTTGCAAACGACGTCCCCGTCGGGATTTATCAGGACACGGCGATGTATGAAAATAATTCAAAATAGTTCATCTGAAAAATCTACCTTGATTTACAAAACGTATAANTAAAAGCTTGTTTGCGCAGCCCCTTTGGGACTAAAATGTGGAACTCACATATATTCCTGTGGCTTACTAAAATAACCATACATCGCAGCGCTTGTCAGGATTCCAGCGAAAAAATTCTTTGCAAACGACGTCCCCGTCGGGATTTATCAGGACACGGCGATGTATGAAAATAATTCAAAATAGTTCATCTGAAAAATCTACCTTGATTTACAAAACGTATAATTAGGTCATTGTCAATTTGCTTGTGTCTGCAATGGAATATTAATTGTTACCTCGTATATTTAATAATGGCAATGGCTAGTTTCTATGGTCTGTAATGGGCAAACATTGCATGTTTCGTGTAGTCTGTAATTAACAAAGGAAGAAATAGCAGCCTAATTAGTCAAGCTCCTAATTAACACAATTTTAAGCTCATTAATGTCTGTAATTGGGGTGCCGCAAAAATCTCCCTTTTAAACTTATTCTCACCATTTTCTTCGAAAACATGTGAGTTCCACAAAATAGAACTTACTGAATAATAATAAAGAAAAAGAAATTTCTATTTGAATTCATTAATGATTGGATGAATCACCATTGTTATTGCCTAGGATTTGCGTTTTTGTTTTCTTCTGTCAACAGAAAGATGGAAAAAAATTAAAACTCAAATGAATCTATCATTAAATTGTGATATGTTTCAATATTGAACCAATACAAATATTGTTAGACATAGAGAGTCTGTTGTATTTTCGATGGACTCGAATGCCGTAAGCACGACGTAATCATAAGTATTCTTCATGTAGAGAGAGAATCGTTTATGCATATTAATGATGTGTAGAAAATTGATATATATATATATACATAAAACTATTCAGCCATAAAAACTAAGCTAAGGTAAGAAAGTTGCCGCCCCATATATTCAACATCTTATAAAACGTACGCATAAATGATTGACTACTTTAATAAGCAATTCACATGATGCGATAGTTAACATCAATAGTTTTTACGTGTTATGTTTTCTTTTATTTCAATATCAATCAATTTACATTAAATTTAGACCATCTATCTGTGCTTTTTACATTTAAATAGATATTACATGCATCCAAGATATGATATTACTCCATCAACTATTACTGATCTACGTCTGCAACATGAAGCACCCGTTGAAATTAAATTTTCTATTTGGCATACATTTAAACATCATATTCCACGTTTTATTGTTACCATTCTAGTTGATGTTATTCTACCACTTGTTATCTACATGTATCTTCAAAAATATATTAAACCAGTTTATGCACTTTTAGCTGCTAGTAGTCCACCATTATTTATGGTTATATTTAAAGGAATGTTGTTACGTACATTTGATGCACTCGGCTTTCTTGTGTTTGTTACTTTTTCTATAACAGCTATTGTTGCTGTTGTATCACGTAATCCTATTATACTTTTATTAGAAAAATCTTTACTTACTTGTATTCTATCATTGATTTTTGGAGTTACATTAATACCATTTCAATTTTGTAAGCATCGATGCCGCTGGCGACCATTAGCGTATTATTTTTATCAAGATCTAGTACCAACGAAACGAAAAGATATTGGATTACCTGATAGTATATTTAATGATGACGAAGATCAAATCGATACTAATTATGCTCGACTTAAAGAAGAAGTTTCAAATAATAAATTGCCTGATAAACAAGAAGTTGCTCAAGTATACGAATGGCTCTATGGGCATTGTTCATCATTTCGCATTTCGTGCTATTTTATAACAAGTGTTTGGTCGGTGGGATATTTTTTAGAATTTCTAGCTCGAGTTATTCTTATTCTAGCAGGTTTGTCAATTAATAAAATCGTAATATATGGACATATTATATTGAGTTCAATAACAGTTTTCATGATTTTATCTACAATTCTTTGCATAACGGTTGAAAGAAAGTTTACATTAGCATTTATAGCACGATGGCGATTACAAACGCTGAATATTCCACAAAATCAACAAAGAAGACCATCAGAAATGTTATCTTCATTCGTTGTAGTTAGAAGTGATTCAAATTGTATTTTAAGTGTAAATTCATGATATTTTCTATTGATATTTTCATAACCAAAGTATTATTTTTTTTTGGAATAAAATTAATAATTAAATTTTCTGATATGTTAAATCGTTTTTACGGCGAGAAACACTATGCATTAGATGATCACAAGGTTTGTTGTTAGCAACATATAATTCAAAGACGAAATGTTTTTTTTTGAATGAATCTCAGCTTGTTATGACTACACAACAATGCAACTGATTTAACTCAATTTCTTCTTTAAATAAATTGCTTGGCGTTTGTTAGTCGGTGTACAATGATTGATAAGAATATATTTGCTTTTCTTCCTTCTTTTTATGTCAACTAGTATTAGATAAACGCAATATCTATTGTCGTTTTCATTGAGAAGAACATCTGGTTTATTGCATATTAGTAAATTATCATAGAGATGTGATAAGACGTGCCTTTAACTCGTCTGCCTTCTTTTCATAATATAAAAACTGTGCTTTTACACTAAATTAGACATTCAACTAATCTGATAGTTTTTACAGTCTGATGGAAGCTGATGATTATTCACTGATAAAAAGTTTACTTACGTAAATGAATACTTCATCGCAAGTGATAATTACCGACATCTATGTCAATTATGAAAATACTTTTCTTTTAGTTTGAAGTAATCTTTTGGAAAGATATAAGAAGCTTTTGTTCTGAATTTTACCGAATAGATATTCTGGTTTACAAGTCTTCCTTTTCTTCTTCATATAGCGTAGAAGAATTCGCATTGTCCTATCCTAAATCAGTCAGTTTTTACGTTCGACATTCATGAGTCATGTCTATGAGAGAACGATTAAAATTTTAAGAAAAATATTTCGAAATATACTCTACTTTTGTCGAACTCGATCTATTCTAGAATTTAGATTGTTATTCATTTGAATTAATATCATGTCACGTTCATCAAAGAAACGCCGACCTAATAATGAGCCAACTGAACCTGAAAGTTCATCGTCGAACTCATCATCTGACAATGAAGACGATGCCGATGAATCTATGGATAATAATCCACAGGAAAATGTTCAAGTCGATTTAGAAGCTCGTTCACCAATAGATAGTGATCGTGATGCAATACTTTATTTTCTTGAGCAATCATTTGGTAATACAATCAAGAAATCTATACTCGATTTAAATCAATTCACTACTCAGTTGATTACTCAACAAACATGTGGTAGTGTGTTTTATCAACCATTGGATTCCACGATGGATGAAACAGATGATGAAGATGATGAACCTCCTGTCTTAGGTGTATGTTCGATTCTTCGTTGTGATCAACAATTTAATAAACAACTACAAGCTTGGTTATTAGATAAATGTTCAGATAATGAACAAGCAAGAAAAATTCTTCAAGGTAAGTTAAAAAATTATTTATTCTGAGCGAAAAAATATATTTTAAAAAAGTGGACGAGTTGGGATTTGAACCCAAGACTTTTCGCATGCAAAGCGAACACTCTACCCCTGAGTTACAGGCCCATGTATATCGTACTGAAAATATTTCATATTTTAGCTTCAAAATGTGTTTTATTTATCAACGAACGTTATATGAATATCCCAGCTGATATCAGTTTACCAGCAATTCGTACACTTCGCGAGGAAATTACCTATTCAATTGATTATTGGATAGTGCATGCTAAAGTACGTTTACATAAAAATGATTCAAACACAATCTATTATGTCAATGGTGAAGAAGAAATTTTTCAACAACATTCAACAGTGTCCGTCGATTATTATCCACCTCAAGATAGTTCTGGTGAATGGACACATCGAAGAAAAATAATGTTTGTTTCGAGCGATAAACTCGATCAAATCTGCTCTGATATTGAACAGAAATTAAAGCAATGATCTAGTTTTTCTTTTGTTGTTAAAGAAAATAAAAAGAATTAAATTTGTTAAACAAAATAAAACGATCTTATATTATACTATCCCGCTGGTTTATGTTTTCAGGCAGAATATCTTCAAAATGCGAGTTAATTGGAAAATGTTTTTTTGTATCAATCATTTTTGTCACTAAATCACTAGAGGTTTTATGTCATGAAAGATAGTCTATTCCAACTAAACTGTTAGCACAAGACGGTGCAAATTTCACTATAACTATGAGTGTGTGAAAATTTAATGATACCGTTACAACTAAAATACTTCTGAAAGCCGAGAATAGTGAGTTAGCTGCTTGTGCAAATATACCGATGACAAAAAGAAGAAAGGTGAACCATTCAAGTCAGAATATTATCATTAGTGTCTATATATATATATATATGTTGGAGGGGAAATTAAAACCCAGGGCAATTTGAATTTCCCCTAGGGGAAAGTATTCGTATTTTTTATATAATTTTCGATTTTTCTGAAATAGGTAAAAATGAATATTCATCTTGACGTCTAGACAGGAATGTTTGTGCGAATGTCCATCATCTCTGTAGGTGTAGCTGTACAAAGTCAGTTTGAATGCACAATATAAGTGCGGGTGAAGGTGAGGGTGAGGGCTTGATTAGTACGGGCTCACACACTCACACCCACATATAGACCCACACCATCACACAAACAGTACATTTTTACCTGTTTCAGAAAAATCGAAAATTATATAAAAAATACGAATACTTTCCCCTAGGGGAATTTTAAATTGCCCTGAATTTAAATTTCCCCTCCAACATATATATAAATCTTGAAGCAACATTGAGTGTAGCAATAGCATGCGTCATAATCTCATAAAGAGATAGCTCGTGCAATATCACATACTTACAGTCATGACTCGCTACCTGATCTGTGTTGGATCTCAAAATAATAGCACTCGACGTAGTATTTCCACAGTCTATCGAATGGTATCATCTTTCATGAGGTTTATCGGTCAAAAATTTCCGCTTAAATTTGTACCTGGGTTTGGATCAGAGATGCAAGGCACTCGAAGGTTACTTGTTTTTGTATGTCAAATGAAACTGATTTCTGAGCAACGTGAACATTATGTCTTGGATAAAATTGATGAAACTATTACAGAATAATAGTATGACAGCGAACTTGACACTTATGATCTTTCAGTTATATAAAAACTTGGCTCGAGTGACAAGTTGAATCCTCTTTTCGTAGGCATGCGCCTCGTCATATTTATTTCTTATTATTCGACACAGAGTGTACTTCAATATCCGGGATTGAACGTTGTTAAGTCGTATTAAACACATCGAACCTTGTAATAAATCAATTCTGGATCTCCATCGTCCAAATTGTGAATAACTCCAGTCAGTTGATATTTCAATTTAGCGAGCAATGATTGCATGGCTAAATTAGATAGATTCGTCGATGTGAACAATTTCTTTGTCGTAATCAAAGTTCTTTCTTCTAAATAATTCATCAACATTAAACCAACACCTTGCCGTCGATACAAAGGGTGAACAAGAAGCATTGAAATGAAAGCGTTAGCATAGAAAGAATAGTCAAGCACAACATAACCAACAATGAGCTTATCATTCCAAATTGCAACATGGCAGTAAGACGACGCGACAGATCGTTCTAAAAAAGAACGAATGAAATCCCGATCGTCGATCGAATTACAAATCTGGTCGATGTCATTTATTGTCGCTAAACGACATGAAAATATCGTCTTCTCACTGATCTCCATGACTCAATGTATTCTTCATTGACATCCAAGTCATTTTATCATGTTAGATTTATTGTGCAATCATTGCATTACATTGCACAAGATAAGTGATAACTGCAACGACGATTGTGACACAAAAATGCAATAATTTTTTCTTTGTATCAAAGCTATCACGATAGCAGATATTTTCATACTACTGAAATAATCTTGAAGGTGTCAGAGATGGAATCGGTACTGTTTGGTCTTGGATTCAACCGATAACTCCTATGAAATCTATATTTCTATGAGTTTTGCTCTTTTGTGGGGTGTAGTTAGGTGATTGTACCCCTGAGAGAAATATTTTTCGATTGTAAAAAGTAAAAACGAACGAAAAGCAAACTCTTACTACTTCGAATACATCTCAAAGTGTGTTTTTTGCCTATATGATCACAACTCTCTTTCAAAATTCTAGATCTGCCTCTACTCTAATATGTATAAATACGCTGGTAACGCATATGAGAAACAAATAATAATTAGAAGCTAATTTTTTTAAGTGAAGAAGGTACAAATCGGTTAGGCAGTGTATTAAAACGTGTTTTTAAACCAAAAATATATCCTGCAAAACTTTTCGTTGGTGGTGATCGTGAAAAACTAACATCTGCTAATAAGCAATAGCATTAACTAACCAATAAGTTCAATAAACTTCGAACAAAAAGAAAAGATACTTTTCTTCATGAACAATTTATCAGTAAGAAGTTGAAATTAATGAACCAAAACAAGCGTTCTATAGCAATTATCCTGGGAGACATTTGTTTTTGAAAGATTTCTCAGTGGATAAGCAAATAGCATTACTTTTAATATTTATAGTTACTTATGCAGCATGATGTCTTTGAACGGGCAGAACAAAAATAACATAACATCTCGAAAAAATCTCAAACAGAACACTTTTTTAAATTGCATTTCTCTATATAAACAAATCATTTTGAAACTTCTATCTTTTTAGCTATGATTTTGTGGAACTCACATATATCTTCGAAGAAAATAGTGAGTGTAAGTTGAATTGTTAGGTTTTTGCGGCTGCCATGTACCTCCCCCTCCCTATTACAAACATAAAATATTTAAAAAAAAACTAACATTTAGATGCACTAATTAGAAACTTTTTTGGTACAGGTCGATTGCCTATGTTCATCACTACACACATCAGTAATAAAAATCTAGTTTCACTAGTTAGAAATCATTATAATTAGGATTTAATCTCGAATTAATCATCAAAATCTGTCGTGTTTATTATTATAGTCCATAGTTACGACAGTATCGTATATTTTTATTATTACAGACGTTAGCAACGAGTGTATGCTACCGCTACAGAAGCTAGCAACTAGTTTATGCTACTAGTACACTCGTTACTTCTGCCACCTACAATAAATAGACGAAGATTTTAATCTTTTTTTTCTCACACAAATACCTTATTCCCGAGCTTAAATTCACTTTAGTGTATTTACAATTCGCAACTTTTCCATCCACTAGAAAGCTTTTATCAAATTTTTGTTTATGAAAAAATGTATTAATTTCTCATCTGATAATACGAAAAAATATGAATTTCTCGACAATATTGATAGCTATATCCTAAATACTGTTTAAACTATTATCGTGCACAATATTTCTCAATGAATCTACTAAACACTTCAGCATACTGACATATTCTAAACAACAAGTTTTTTATACGTTCTCTCTAGTAATATTTCCTATTGATAAATCCAATAAACTTCAAATGTTAAAAAGGTTTTATTATCTTATTTTTGAACAAAATATGATCTCACTACACTGAAAAAATAAATCTTCTATTTGATCAGTATCTACTTGACTGAAATATGTGAGTTCCACATTTTAGCCCCAACGGGGCTGCGCTGACAAGCTTTTTGATGACAAAATTCTATATTTCAAAACATGTATGATATTCAGCATAATTTTTTTCATATCTATGTGCATGATTGAGCACAATGATTGTAGATAGAAACGATCATTACTATTTCTTCTTTACGCTCGTAAAAGTGTATAAAACGACAAGATTGTTCAGTATTTTCTACTTTCTTTCAGTAGTCATAATGCGAAGCATGGCGAGCGATTAAATCGATGTTTGAATTCAGATTAGCTAGTGAATCTAAACTGAAGATAGTCACCTCGCGAGATAGGGATATTCTATATCCTCAATTTTAATTGTCCCAAAACATAATTCAATTAAAATATGAAAATAATTTGAGAACGAACCACTTTTTGTTGAGCCATTCATAGAGAGACGAATATCATTTCTAATTTCAACAATTTTTTTTATCTTTCTCACTACTCAATCATCCATCTGTAAAAATTGTTTCAACAAAAAGAATAGCCAACTCTTTGTATCGTTTTTTTTAATGACATGTGTTACACTTGTATTGATTGGTCTCTTCATTAGTGAAGCTGTTGTTTTTTTCTCGCATCATCCTATCATCGATCAACAGATCGAAAAGAAGATATCAATGTTCATATAAATTTTGTACATTCAATATCACACACTAGAAAGCTCTTCTTGTTTCTTCTTGCAATATTCCAATAAATAACTACGACACCTTTTTTTCTCCCTGTTATGATCTCTAGACAATAATCCGAAAGAAATCGTTTTCTTTTTTTAATTTGAATAATTATTTTTTTCCTATTATCTGATTGAACAAGATTTTTTTCTTCCAATTTTCTCACACCTTAGTGTCGAAAAACATACACATGCGTACATATCTATGCACCTGACTAATCCTCATCTAGATCTATCTTGTCATTCATTCATCGATCTATATGGACAGAAGAAGAAGAAGAAGAAGAAAAATATAGTGATTAGACTCATCCTTCTAATTGGTAAGAAGAATTAACGAAAAGAAAAAAAAATTGATCGAATTTAAAAATCTGACTGTTTATAACGAAGTATTTATTAAATGATATTTAAATACGAATAGTTAATTTTGTATATAAAATCAAATTTTATATTCTCAATAGATTGATTGTTAATTGTCGATGATCTTTGATCAAACATCTTGTTTATATGGCACATATCATATTCACATCAAACGAATTTTTTGTTCTCTTTGGTGTTAGACGACGACGACGATGATGATGATGATACTTCGAGATTAGAAAGTCACGTTTCTTCACTTATTCGTACAGATTAAGAAGAATTGCGATAGAAACTTTGTTTTTTATTTTATTACAGTGGCGCATCTAAGAGTTGTTACTTATTGAACGCGAAACTAAG